GAATAATGTTATTATTTAGTATTTTTTAGGGATTTTTCTCATTGATAGATTTTAGAGGCTCATGATAATCAGTAGAAATATGATATTGATGATATCTGATGAAAGCAGTCTTGAGTTCTGACGGATGAATCTGTTCTCTTCTTGATTCTATTCCATCAGTACGCCAAGAACCATGAGTTGCATTTCACAGACCTGACATTTGATGATTCAGCGATGTATCAGTGTATTGCTGAGAACCGTCACGGCACAATATATGCCAATGCCGAGCTCAGGGTCTTTGGTGAGTATTCATCGTTTAGTATTAATATTTGCTGTAAAATGTGGTTCTGAGCTTCAGGACTCAAAGGGTTGAAGATCTTGAGGAACACTGCTAGTTCTTCCTCTGAATGTGTTGTTTTCTCAGCCGGCGCTCCTTCGTTTGAGTGGAAACCCATGAAACCCAAACTTCTGGGGGCCAAAAACGGGCGCGTGGTGATTGACTGCAAACCCAGAGCAGCGCCGCAGCCGACCATCTCCTGGAGCAAAGGAACCGAACTCCTACACAACTCCAGCAGGTCAGAGGTCACGCAGAGGTCATCTCACGGATCCCTGCTCTCTCCAGAACCATTCATATTCAGTCTGTTATGATTGCAGGATTTTCATATGGCCAGACGGGAGTTTAGAGCTTCTGAACGTCACTAAATCAGATGAAGGAAAATACACATGTTTCGCAGAAAACGACCGAGGCCGAGCGAACAGCTCCGGATCGCTGTCAGTCACCGGTACGACACAGAATCCAAACCCTAACATCAGAACATCCTGATTATTACTGCTGTTATTGTGTTGGCTTGAGAAAGACAATGTACTGTTCTCCCTGGCAATCACATAGCAACATTCCAGCAGCAACACACCTAACAACACCCTAGCCTTGCAACACACAGAATACCTTAGAAACTGCAAAGTAAAGCCCTAACAAAACACCCAAAAGATTCTAGCAACCGCATAGCAACACCCTAGCAACCACCCAGAATATTATACAACACCCTAGCAATGCCCTAACAACCACCTCCTAGCCTAGCAACCACTTAGAATACTTTAGAAACTGTAAACTAACACCCTAACAACCATCCAGAACAACTTAGCAATGCCCTAACAACCACCCAGAACACCATAGTAACCTCATAGCTACCTACTAGCCTAGCAACCACCCAGAAATCCTTAAAAACTGCAAAGTAACACCATAACAACCATCCAGAAGACACCAGCAACTGCATAGCAACACCATAGCAACCACCCAGAACACCCTAGAAACTGCGTAACAACACCCTAGCAACCACCCAGAATACTCTACAATACCCTGCAACACCCTAGCAATGCCCTAATGACAATCCAGAACATCCTAGTAGCTGCATTGGAACACCCTAGCCTAGCAACCACCCAGAATACCTTAGAAACTGCAAAGAAAAATCCCCACCAACCACCCAGAACACCCTAGTAACCACATAGCAACTACCTAGCAACCACACAGAATACCCCATCCAGAATAGCCTACCATCGGCAAAACAACAACCCAACAGCCTCTCAGAACACCCTAGCCTAGCAACCACCCAGAATACTTCAGAAACTGTAAAGTAACACCCTCCCTAACAACCACCCAGAACACCCTAGCAACTCCATAGCAACCATCCAGAACACATCAGTTTGTCTGACAGACTGAATGGCCTTAAAACCTCATAACCTTAATCTTTAAACCTACTGCAAACTTTCTTGCTGGGCTTCTTCTCAAATGAACGTCACAGTTTGTAATCTAGTTGAGTTTGTATTTGTTGGTTAAAGGGTTAGTTCACCCAAAAATTAAAATTAGCCCACAAATTACTCACCCTCAAGTCATCCTAGGTGTATATGACTTTTTTCTTTCAGACAAATCCAGTCGGAGTTATATTAAAAATTGTCTTTGATCTTTCAAGCTGTTTAATAACACTCAGAGGGTGTTGCATGCATCATTCCAAAAGAAGTTAAATAAAAAGCGCCCATCCATAAAAAAAAAGTGGCTCACATGGCGCCGGGGGGGGGGTGAACAAAGGCCTCCTGTAGCGAATCGATGCGTTTTTGTAAGAAAAATATCCATATTCAAAACGTAATAATCACTTTAATCTAGCTTGCACTCACTGTTGTACACGGAAGCAGTTCCGGGCGGATGACGTATGAGATCAGCTTTGCGCATGCGCCGCTCAGAAGTGACGAACGTGGAAGCACAGCGGAGAGATCAAAACAAAATACCGGTCACTAATTAGAAGTACAAAACAAGGATTTGTAAAGAAGAATGTCGGAGGATTTCGATATAAGCCAAGAGGAGACTGGTTTTCCTTTGCTAAAGTAAGGAAACTTTGCTTCTTTTGATCCTGTACTTTTTTTTATGGATGGGCGCTTTTTATTTAACTTCTTTTGGACTGATGCATGCAACACCCGCTGAGTGGCATTAAACAGCTTGAAAGATCAAAGACAGTTTTTAATATAACTCCGACTGGATTCGTCTGAAAGAAGAAAGTCATATACACCTAGGATGACTTGAGGGTGAGTAATTTGTGGGCTAATTTTAATTTTTGGGTGAACTAACCCTTTAAGTGTGATGTGATGGACACACGTCTCACCCCTGCCCTCTGCTGCCACAAACACGCGACTGCACATCAGCAGAAGTGAGAAGCGTTCTCCTGTATTCATGTGTCCTGTAGAAGTGCTGGAATTAGAATCAGTCGTTTGTTGTCTGAGTTTATCATTGTCTCTCTTCAGACGCCACGAAGATCACTCTGGCCCCCTCCAACTCTGACGTCAGTGTGGGCAAGAGCGCCAGGATGGAGTGCGCCACGTCACATGACCCCACCCTCGACCTCACCTTCGTCTGGTCCCTCGACGCACACGTCATCGACTTCGACCGAGACAGAGAGCATTACGAGCACAAAATGGTGAATTCAGTTCCTCATGTTAAAATCCTGTTAAATACTGATGACAAACATCTATTGATTATTTTTTTAGTTTTAATGAATCAAGACTCTTCAGTACCATAGTGGATCCCTTAACACAAAAAAAAACGATAACTATGACAACTATAACGATAACTATAACAATAATAATTATAATGATAACTATAAAGATAACCATAATGCTACTTATGATAACTATAGTGCTACTTTTAATGGTATGTATAATAATTATAATATAATAGTATAATGATAACTATGATGATAATTTTGATAACTATAATTATAACTATAATGATCATTCGAACGATAATTATAATAATAACTATATCAGTAATTATAATGATGACTGTTACAGTAACTATACTGATAATTATAACAATGCTTACTATAATGTCTATAACTATAACAATGAATATATTGATAACTATGACAATAACTGTAATGATAAATAATGGTAAACCTAACAGTATATATAATGATAACTATAAAGATAAGCATAATGCTACTTTTAATGGTATCTATAACAATTAGTATAATGATAACTATAACAATAATTATAATGATAACTATGAAGATCATTTTGATAACTATAATTATAACTATAATGCTAATTATAATAATAACTATATCGGTAACTATAATGATGACTGTAACAATAACTATACTGATAATTATAACAATGCTTACTATAACAATGACTATATTGATAACAATGACAGTAACTGTAACGATAAATAATGGTAAACCTAACAGTATCTATAATGATAACTATAACGATGATAACATGATAACTGTAACAATGATAACTATAATGATGACTGTAAAGATAATGTAACTGTTACAGTCTCTCTAAAGGAAGGCGAAGAAGACGAGGATAATCAACAACGAAAAGTATTATTATATTATAGTAATATTATGATCCACAAAAACTCAGGCAAGGAAACAGAACAGAAGGAAGACTTTAAGTAGGGCAGCTGACGAGGGGAAAACAGGTGAAGGGAGTTAATAATGACTAACGAGCAAATTAATCAAAAACCATGGAAAAAAATAGACAAGGGGACTCAGGGAAATGTGGAGGCAGAAACAGTACCAAAACAGAACATAACCATGACAGTAACGAACAATCACTATATTGCAAGCTATAAGAATAACAGTAATGATAAATGTAACGATAACTATAACGATAATTATGAGAATTGCAACGATAACCATAATGTTAAATATTATGTTAATTATGAGAACTGTAATGATAACTATCACGTTAACTGCACCAATAACTATACTGACATTGCTGGATGAATCACTTTGAAAGTGAGTCTTTATCATCATAATCGTGGTGTGGATGCTGCTATTGTCCCAACTGTATGGTTTTAGTTATCGTTCTTGGTGTGAACAGGGGTCTTGTGTATATTGCAAACATGAATTAAACATATTAATTAAAATGATTGTTGCTCAGGATGTTAATCAGGACGGTCAGGCTGGGATGTCCAGCTCAGAGCTGTTGATCAGTAACACCCAGCTGAGACACGCGGGACATTACAGCTGTACGGCGCAGACGCCAGTGGACAACGTCACGGCCTCCGCAGAGCTGGTGGTCAGAGGTCAGACTGAGACTCATGGGATCATTCTCCATTTTATCTTCAATAAACCTGAGCGGGACGTCACAGCTGATGTTTTCTGATGTTGATCACCATCTCCCGTGTCTCCTCATTCTCAGGTCCCCCAGGTCCTCCCGGTGGTGTGCGTGTGGACGAGGTGATGACCAGCAGCGTGAGGGTGACCTGGAGTCACGGGACGGATAACTTGAGTCCCATCTCCAAATACAGCGTCCAGTACAGAGACGTGCGAGAGCAGCAGGACTGGAGAGACACCTCCACCTGTGAGTACATCACCACACTTCACTATAGTGATGATACATATGTGTGCGTGTATAATTAATATATTAATATACTTTTCTGCACATTTAAGATGACTATTTAATTTGTTAATCATCTGTTAATAAAGTTTGACTTGACTATTTGTTTGGATGTAAACCAGCCGCAGTGAGTTTGTGCTGTAATCCAGTGATTCTGTGTGTCTTCAGCTCCAGTGAATGTGGAGGGAAATGCAGAAATGTCCTCCGTGATCAATCTGACGCCCTGGACGGAGTATGAGTTCAGGGTCATCGCCACCAACACGCTGGGCACCGGACCCCCGAGTGACCCCTCGCCCAAAATCACCACCAGAGAAGCCAGTGAGCTCCTTCTATCCTCATTTGAGGAAACAATCACCTGCGGTTTATTGCCATTAGTGTGTTTGTTTAACCCAGCTACTGCATTCAGCCCGTTTTGACCTGGAAGCAGAGCATAACAATTTCAAGGTTTTAGTACAGGAAGCAAACTTTAGAAATGAGTAAAGACTATCAAAATACATATCATTTATTTTTTCTGATTAAAAAAATAGATGTGTCTCGAAAACACTTCTGTGAAATGCATTTAGCCTGGCTACCACATCTCACATTTTTAGGACTAAATTCTGCTGATAAACATCACACTGTAAACACACTAAACTGGCATAACAAATGAACTATATCAAATGAACAGAGCAAAAGTTCAAAGACCAAATAGTCTGAATTTGATAAAGGACAGAGGATTGAAAACGAAGAAGTCCACATTTCACTCTGCTGCCACCTATGGATGAACCATTGCAGCATCTACCATTATCGCTGCACCATTATGATAACAGTGAAAGTTTATACAAGTGAAATAAATATATTTTGTTTGAAAACATTCCAGACTAATATTGATGTTGTTTTGTTTGAAAATGTAGGTTTCGTAAATCTGGAATATTTTTGAGCAGTTATGAGTTATACGTTAAAAAAAAAAAGTAATTAAATTCTGTTAATTCCAATAGAGTTAATGCTGGTCATTTTCAGATTGTATGTTCTTATAAGTTTCATATAATGATATATTCAAATAAAATTTATCATCAATACTGAAATGCATCACAGTAGTTTTGCTGTAGTTCATGTATAATATGAAATTTCAAAGAATTTCTCATTTTTAATTAGTAAAAAGGGGGGCAAATGTAGTAAAAACATGGTAATAACAGTAAAATTTAAAACATTTACAAGTCCACTCATCAATATATGCATTCATTCATCAGATATTATGCCATTTTAGTTGAAAATGATCAGAAGCTCACGTTACGTTGCTTTAATAAGCTTACGTTCCACCCGGTCCATGCATTAGTATGTTTAAGTCAATCCTCACTAGTACTATTGTTGATAGTGATCTGATTAAATCACTAACACTAAGTATTAAACATCAGTGTGTTAGTCCTCCAGCAGCATTCTGGGAAAGCACCCACAACATACAGTAACACCACTGGAATCATCTAGAACATCATAGTAACTAGTAATTGCCCTAGCAACCAATATTACTGTAACGTCTGTCATTATTTAGTGCTGGACTCTCTCTCTCTCTCTCTCTGTAGGGCCTGTTGTGGCTCCGTCAGACATCGGTGGAGGAGGAGGAACCAGTCGTGAGCTCACCATCACATGGACGGTACCAGTGCTCATGTTTCTCAGATGAAGACCAGTGTCATGTGTATTCTAGAAATCAGAAAATTCCCTCTCCAAATACCAGCAAAATGCAGCTCTCTCTTTCAATTTCACGTAACACTTTACTTTGTTTTATCTGTGTAGTTTGCTTTTAATTTGGTTTAAAACTGAAAAAACAAAAACAGTTGATTGTGACTGATAAAAATTTAAGGCAAGCACTACAGTTAAAAACATAGTTTTTTCATGCATTTGTCAATTTTACAATTTTGGTCTATTTTCTAGTTCTATGACATGTCTGCTCGATAAAAATTTAAGGCAAGCACTACAGTTTTTTCATGCATTTGTCAATTTTACAATTTTGGTCTATTTTCTAGTTCTATGACATGTCTGCTTTCAGACTAGTGAAAAAAGATCTAAAATACACATTTAAGTGTTTATTTTATGACACTTTATCTGTTTGCGTCTGTAGGTTTTAATTCCAACCCATATCTATAAAAGTTTGTTTCTCCACTTCAGCGGCACTTACACACACCGAAACTTAGAGTTTTATTCCTCTCTATATTCTGAAGGTTTTTACTGAGGGGTTTCTTCATATTTCATTCACACTGATTTATACAACATTTTATTCCTTAAACATGGTGAAAATGCATATATTTAAATGTTGTGAGTTTGTTTCTCCTCTTCAGCAGCACTAACATACACCAAAACTTAGAATTATCTAAAGAATTTTGAACCAATGTTCATGTTTCTGCTCTGGAAATGTATGCAAACTAGTGCACATGATATAATGATAATGCATCATTTGTATATTTAAACATAACATTTCAGAAAACTTGTAATGCAAAATGTATTATTTGAATGTATTGTGATTAATCAGCTGGGGAAGTATGGTGATTTATATTAGTTTAAGTGTTTACTCTATTCACCTGTGCTGTTTTGATGTGTTTTGCGTCTGCAGCCGGTCCAGCCGCAGTACTACTATGGCAGTAATTTTGGCTACATCATCGCATTCAAGCCTCATAACGACCCTGAGTGGATGAGAGTGACAGTGACCGATCCTCAGGCCCAAAAGTACATCCACAAAGACTCGAAAATCCCCCCGTCCACCAGGTTTGAGGTGAAGATGAAGGCCTTTAACAGTCAGGGTGAAGGGCCGTTCAGCGTCAGCGCCTTCATCTACTCTGCTCAGGATGGTGGGTGACGCACGGCTGCAGATTTACAGAATCAAACCATGTGAACTAGCGACATTACTGACGTGTGTTTCCATCTCAGTTCCTGCGGAAGCTCCCACCATCATCGAGGCGAGGACGCTGTCAGCCACAGAAGCCGTCGTGTCCTGGGTGCCTCTACAGCTGCAGACGGTTGAAGGATACCAGGTACCAAAGCGCTAGTTAACCATTAACCCCAGAATGAGCCAATCACATCAGACTATCTTATCACACATCTCAAGTTCACTTCCTGATATCTAAAGTTGTTCATTTACCAGCTGGGTTATTATCATTAAATAAAACTGAAACTATAAAAAAAACACTACTTCTCATTACTTGCAATACAATGTTAACTTTAGTAAATTACAATATAAAAAAACAAATATATAAATGAATAAAAAAAATTCACCTAGTTGCCAAGGCAACCGTTCTCGTTTAATTTTAAGTAAACTAAAATAACTAAACTAAAACTGAACTAAAATAACTAAAACTAAAACTCAAATAAAAATTACAATTTTAAAAAATTTAGTGATTTTAAAAAAATATTAGAAATATTAGAAAATATTGAAATGTAGGAAGAAAATTTAGTCCAAAATAAGACAGGAATTTTCAAAGTCTGGGGAGAATTTTTAAAGAGGAAAAGGTGGGGTGTGGGAGGGGGATTGCTTTTAGCCAATATTGATTGTGTAAATTGTGTAAATTATTGTGTAACTGAAATAAAATATAAAAAAAAAAACTTAAGCTTATTTTATTTCAGCTTAGTTGCCAAGATGTACTTGTATGTACTAAAATAACTAAGTAAACTAATAAATAAAAACTAATAAAAACTATACAGACAGTTAAATAAAATGTAAATGAATTAAAAATATATAAAACAACAAAATTACTAATATCTCAACTAAAATTAAAATGGAAAATGGAAAAATAAAGCCTAACTTAAAATATGATTAAAAACTATGATAGTGTGTTAATTTCTGGCCTGGTGCGGGTGTTCTCTCTCAGGTCCGGTGCTGGAGGGAGTCGGTGGAGAACGAGGCATCTGCACAACGTGTTCTGGTTCCCAGTCGAGAAAACCACACGCGTCTGGACAACATGAAGCCCAACTCACATTACCTCATCGAGGTACGGGCGTATAACGGCGCCGGCTACGGACCCGCCAGCCAGCGCCACAAAATCTACACCAAGAAAGCACGTAAGTCTCATAGGAGTCCAAACACATTTTTAGGACACATTTTTACTGTGTGAGGGAAAAAAAAGAGTAAACGTGATGTTAAAAATAAATAATTGGCATTTATGTTACTGTTTCTGATCTGATTGTATTGTTTTTCTCAGCTCCTAGTCGGCCTCCTAAAATCATCGGCACAAAGATGAACTACAGCGGCACGACGATCAACATCGCCTGGGAGCAGGTGGAGCCGCTGACCAACGAGTCGACAGTGGAGGGATATAAGGTCAGAAAAACACAGTAAACGAGGTGTTTAAACTAATCGAGCTGCTCTTGGTGCTTCCTTTACCTGCTGCTCAGTGTCTCTGAATGTGTTTCAGTGTGTTTGTCTTACTGGATTCATGGAGCTACGATTTACCATGCATACAAATCGGCCATGTCCACACATACACTGGTATTTTTAAAAACTGAGTTTGTCCTTCTTCTGTTTTAAAAAAATCTCCGTCCACATGAAAACGCAAATGCATGCTGTGAAGCACTGCCAAGAGCATGCTAAACCAACAGGTGGCGATATAATCTCAACCGTAAAGCCATGTTGGCCAATCAGAAGCCTGAAAAAGTCTCCAGTAGGCGGAGATAACAGCGCAGGCTCTGACGTCACAAGCCAAAAACTCCGGTTTCGCTGTCTACACGACAACACTGCAACCGGAGTTTTTGAAAATCTTCACCCTGGCAGGCATTTTCAAAAATGTTCGGTTTCAGTGACCTGGTGCTGCGTTTGCGTGTGGACGAATGGCCAAACCGTGTAGAAAAAGCTGCGTTTTTAAAAATAACCGCGTTCATGTGGACAGGGCCTTGAGGTGTGACTCAAAGCCTGCAAAAATATGTGGTTTAGGATGGGTTTTCTGTCTCTCTGTCTCCCTCTGCTGCTGTATGTGTGAAGCTCAAGCCACTGATGAGCTTAAGGATGCTTAATTAGTGCTGGCAGCTGATCTACAGCAATGAGAGACCATAAAAATCCTCTGTATGTGTGAGTGATGATTGAATGAGTGTTTGAGTCAATGAGAATGTGTGTTTGAAAGAAGGAAAAGAAAGAATGAAATTAAAAGATTTTGTCAAGTTAAAAATAATTTCAAAATCATTGAGATGTTGTCATTCAGTACAGTACACATTCAGTACACACCCACAGTTCAAAGCAGATACTATAGTAGAATGTTTTTTTTGTGTGTGTGTGTGTAGATCACTTTGGATACCATGTCTGTATTATGCACTTTCTAAAATAATAATGAACGTGTTCCCCTTGACAATTGCATCATCAGTTTTGAATAAAAAAAAAATGTTCTGTCTGTTTTACCGCATATTATAAAATTTACAATTCACCTTCATTTTAATCGACTGTCCTTGACTCCTGAAAGCGTCTGTATTTCAGGTCAAGTTTCGTAGAAATTTTCTGCAAGACAGTCGGCTGTCATTCAAGTTAACCATCCAACATCTATTGAATGTTAGGCTGCAGCTGCACATTTATTCTTTTAGGCTTTTCGGAATATATAATGTCAAAAATCCATGTTTAACAGTCCCTTTATAACTCTGTGATAATATTACAGGCCAAATCAAAACTGGAAACTGATTTATGGAGCAGATTTCAGGTTACTCAAGGGGCTGAATGTGGACAGAATGCTCTAAGACCCTTATAAATACAACAGTGTTTCTGATATAATCTGCTGCTAGTGTGGTCATCCATGCGGGTTCACATTGGAAAGTCCAGTTTTGAAACACCTTGTTCATTTACCAGCGCAGACTTGATCCAGACGCTCATTTGTCCTCCTTTTAAGATCACTGTTTTATACTTTATACAATAAATAAAAAAAAATGTTAATGTTATGTTCAAGTTAATATTAAGTGACGGACATTTTAGATACAATATTGTCCCTGTGGATTGCTTTGCTCTATTTCACCAATCATTGCAGCACTGATCAACAGGGTGGTGTTTCATTCCTGAATGATTCAGTGTTCATGAACAAATTTAAAGTCAGTGATTCAATAAGCCATTCTTAAAGACAGTTGCTAAATTTGGAAATTCATATTGTTTGTTTATTGTTTATTTATTTATAAGGACAACAAACATTAATCAACATTTCTGTAAATGTGTTACACATAACACATAACACTGGCCAGTGTTAGACAGTTGGCTAATCTTCAACTGCAGTCCTTTGGGAAGATGTTTCAAAACGCAAACAATACTCAGCAGTTTGAGAAGGATCTGAGTGGGTGTAATATAGTGTGTGTGTGTGATTGACTGCAGGTGAGTCCAGTCAGTGAAATGTAACATTAACAGTGAAAGGGCGACCTCTGGTGGCAATCGGACGGAAGGCCATGGACCGGATTCGTGACAGATTCATGGATAGATTCTGGATAGACTGACAGTTCATGATCAGACTCATTGACAGAAACTGGTAAAACAGAGAGTTCAAAATCAGACTCACTAGCAGCATTTAGACGGACAGACAGTTCACAATCAGCCTCCATGGCAGGTTCAGAACAGGACGAGAGTTAATAGACAGCCTCCATAGCCGTGACGGTACAGGCAGAGAGTTCACAGATGGCCTCCATAGCCATGACAGAACAGGCAGAGAGTTCATAGACGGCCTCCATAGCCGTGACAGGACAGACAGGGAGTTCATAGTCGGCCTCCATAGCCATGACGGGACAGACAGAGAGTTCATAGACGGCCTCCATAGCCGTGACAGGATGAGCAGAGAATTCATTAATGGGTGCCACTACCGTAACCAAAGCTGAAGTGAAAGACAACGCCTCAGAAGGTTCTGCAGCAAACGCCATCACCTCCGTAGAATCCGGAACAGGCACCGCTGTCTCTGGAGGTTCTGCAGCCTCAGCCGCCACCTCTGGAGAATCTGGAGCGGGCACTGCCATTTCTGGAGGTTCTGCAGCCTCAGCCACCACCTCTGGCAATCCTTCCACGGACGTCACTGGCTCTGGAACTTCGGCTGTAGTGAACGCAGCCCATACACACCAGAGAGCAATCCCACATATGGGAAATGCAGCAGACAAGGGGATTACTTCTGGGACAAAAGGGTTTGAGAGCGACCCCTACTGGGGTCGAGGGTTCCGCCGGCGGCACCCCTTGCAGATTTGAATGATAACAGCGAAAAGAACTTAAAATGCTCCTTCATACGTGATCGTACATATAAGAGTAATACAGCATTTAAAATCTGTAAAGGGTCTACTTTTATTTGTGTACACTCACAATATCAACAAAACATTGTGCTTTTGCAAAATAAAGAAAATAAACAGGGTGTGCTTTTAGCCGTCTCATTCTCCGCGCATATCTGTTTGAAACGCATCACTAAAATGAACTGAAACTCAGCGAATATTTGACACACACACATGAGAGATATATCTATAGAAA